GTGGAACCAGGGTTTGAATTCAGACCTTTGCGCTTGCCAGGCAAATGCTTATTCTACTGAGCTATCTCCCTGGCCCCCATTTTCCCCCAATTCAAGGTTTAACTTTTAAAATGAAACACACTGAACTATCCTTTATTGGCTGTCATCCCGACAAAGATGAGTAAAATGCACAATGCTCCATGATGGAGACGAGAGGACCTCGGGCCCTGTTACTAAGGCAGAGTGATCTGAAGAACGTCTGAAAAATCCTCGGGGCAGCCCATGACCAAGCAAGATGGCCTTAACAGCCTGCATCCCTGTGCCTGCTGGCTGTCCTCTGAGAACACCCTGGAGCAGCTGCCAGCTGGGGGGGCGCTGTTGGGGGTGCTCATGCTCCCCTGCACTGGAGAGGGGCTGCGGGGCATGTGGGCAGCTATGGGACAGACAATGAGGGGAGCAGGCGCAGGATCCCAGCATGCAGGTGGGCATGTTCCTGACTCTCAGCTGTGTTTGCCCATCACTGGGAGAGGTCAACATCTGAGGGCTGGGCACAGGGGCATTTGTGGAGGGCAGAGAGTGGTTCAAGAGGGCCAAGGTCTTAAGCACCTGAGCAGGGTATTTCTGTGGCTCTCGGGGCTGGCAGCAGTGTGGTGGCACACTTCTGCCCTGTGTGGCTGGCTCCAGTGGATCTCAGGTGCAGGCCCAGGGAAGGGGAGGCAGATGGTTGTGTTCAGCCGGGGACCCCACCTGAAAGTAACCTAGGAAGTGCAGCATTTGAAGAAGCTGCAAGTACAAGTGGTGAGGGTGGCACTGGCTCCCCCGGGGCCTGCTCTCAGGACAGAGGCCACAGTATGCAAAAGGACAGACCCAATGCCCACTCCTCCTCGTGAGAGCACAGATGCCTGCAGAGGGTGCCAGTGCCAGGGCAATGGGATCTCTCCATTCTGAGCCCCTTCCCAGCCTCCTTGCCTTGCAGAGATCGGCGTCGGCATCACTGGCTTCGGCGTCTTCTTCATCCTCTTTGGGATTCTCCTGTACTTTGACTCCGTGCTCCTGGCATTTGGAAATGTGAGTCCCCCAGTCCCATGCACCTCTCTGGTCCCAAGCTCCTGAGGTCTCTACTGCCAGGCAAGCAAGCCAAAAGTTCACCCTGTCCTGCCCATCCGGGAGTCAATGAGGAGGGCAGTGGGGTAGACAGCAGAGCCTGCCACACTCAGCAAACCTGAAGACCTGCATAAGCAGGCCGAGCTCTGGGTGGGGCCCTGAGACTCCACGATGAATCAGACCCTGTCCCTGCCATCAGGAAGTGACCAGCACCTGCACCGTGACAGTGAAACAGGGGCTTAGGAGAGGGAGGGGACTTGGGAAGGAGGATGGGCACCAGGCGGGTGAAGCATGTGCAGGTGGCTAGAACAGCAAGACAAAGGGCATGGAGACGGGCAGACTACACATCTGGCTGGGAGACAGCTGGGGAGTTAGCAAGAGCTCCTGAGGGCCTGCTAGGGTGCACCCGTGTGCAATTCTGCAAGCTGTGGAGCACCTGGAGTTTCTGGGTGACTTTGGTTATGGCTCCCCAACCTCTTTAAGCCTCAGCCTTCAATTTTGTAAACAGAGAGGATCTCACAGTCCATCCCAACCCCCGGAGCCATGGTGACAAAGGGGAATCTAGGGAACTGGCCGGGAAACTAGGGACCTCCAAAGTTCTCCCTGCCCGGCCCACGCCACTGGGCAGCTGTGACCCTGACCAGCTGGAGGGACTCAAGGCTCTGGGATCGTGCCGCTCTGCGGATCGCTTCTCGCCTGTGGTCCTGGAGACCTCGGGCCCTGCCTGCCCCAGGCTCCAGCCTGAGCACCTGGCTCTGTGCGCCCTGTGCTCGCCCTCATGCTCCGCCGCTCCCTCCACACAGCTGCTGTTCCTGACCGGCCTCTCCTTCATCATCGGCCCAAGGAGGACATTCTCCTTCTTCTTCCAGCGGCACAAGCTCAAGGGCACCAGCTTCTTCCTGGGTGGCGTGGCCTTGGTACTCCTGCGCTGGCCCCTCCTGGGCATGCTCCTAGAGACCTACGGGTTCTTCAGTCTGTTCAAGTGAGTGCAGAGCCTCCGGACTCCAGGACAGAGGCTGAGGACAAAGGGCGCCACTGGAATTCAAGTTTCTGTGTGTGTGGTGCTGAAGATGGACCCTGTGGCTGCACCCGGGCTAGGCAATCGCCCTTCTGTGTGAGAGTGTGAGTGAGTGAGTGAGTGAGTGTGTGTCTGTCTGTCTGTCTGTCTGTCTATCTAACGGTCTGTCTGTCTTTGAGGCAGAGTCTCACAAAGTCACTAAGTTGGCTTTGAACTTGCAATCTTCCTGCATCAGCCTCCCAAGTAGCTGAGATTATAGGTGTGAGCCACAGCACCTGGCTCAGAATTTAAACTTCTAATCTCACCACTGGCCAGAATGCTCAGGGCTCCCTTCCCACCCAGCCACGTCACACAGATGCCCCCTGTCAGGCTTCTCCTGAGTCTTGCAAGACACCAAGGGCAGACAAAGGTAGCTCTCCACAAGTGGTCTGCCAAGGCACAAGGCAGTGCCAGTGTGCGCATGGCCTCACATACTATCCACGCGCAGAGGCCAGCAAATCTGGAGCTGCCTATCTAAGGAGGGAAAGAAGTGGGCCTGGGAGAGAGCTCAGTAGAATAAGTGCTTGGCCGGTAAGTCCAAGAGCCTGAGTTCAATCCCTGCTTCAGGAAAAAAAAAAAAAAAAAAAAAAAAACAACTAAGGAGGGGAAGAAGAAAAAGAATCACAGGGACCTGTAGACTGCTGTGTGCAAGGCCTAGGATGCAGTTACTATCATTCACCCCATTTTGCATGTGGAAACAGAGAATTGAAGGGATTTGCCAGGAAGTAGTAGGCCAAGCTTGGAGCTCAGGAAGGCTGGCCCAGGGACTTCCTTCTTAATCACTGTCCTCTGTGGCCTAAGTGGGGGTGCAGAACCGCACCTGCCCAGGGCCTAGGGGCCTGCTCTCCCGAAGCCAGACTTGGAGCCTGCTAAAGGATGGACCTCAGCCTCCACACCTTCCCTCCTCACCTTGGGACCAGCACTGAGGACTTTCTTCTCCCTTCTGCTCTAGGGGCTTCTTCCCTGTGGCCTTTGGCTTCCTGGGCAACGCCTCCAGCATCCCCTTCCTGAGTGCGGTGAGTGGCTCACAAGGAGGGTGATAGCCCCGGGGGTGGCATGGCACCCAGGTGGCTAGCACTGCTGGCCCAGGTCCAGGGGCCCCTCCCTTGTCTCCCCTCACTCCCCCTGCACCAGGTTTGCCAACCCTAGGTCCTCTTCCTCTTCCTGCCCCTTCCCCTGTGACAAGAGTGGAGGGAGTAGAGCCTGTAGGCAGGTGTGTCTAAATTGAGCATGTAGGTGAGGGCAGAGAAGTGGGACTTCTCCAAGTGGGACTTGGAGACTCCAGGTGACCACCAACAAAGGGCCTCAGATTTCTGGGGAGCTGGCTAAGTATGGGCCCCGGGCACTGCGATGTGTGACAGCTGGAAAGGCAGTTGCTGAGATGCCCAGGGAGGCCCCCCAGCTAGCCGGGCACATCCCACAGCCCCTCCACAGCTGCCCACGGCATCAAGGCAGCGCTCAAGGCCAGCCTCATCATGGCCTCGTGTTGCATCTGCTCCCCACCCTTTGTCTGCAATAATGATTCTTGGCTCCCACAGCTGTTCCGGAGGCTGCAAGGTACCAGCTCAATGGTCTGAACTACAGAGATGAGCTCCTTGAACTTGGATCGCTGATTAAGTGGCAGGAAGGGAACTGGAGGCCACCTCCACAGGCCCCCACTCAGCGCTGGCTCTGTCCCTGTCATCACCAGGCCTCCTCAAGTCCTAAAGGAAGGATGGAGCTGGGTGACTGCGAACCTCTGAGTCAACTCAAAAGGCCACAGGGACAGTTGGGGCAGAGTTCACAGCCCCTCTGAGACCTACCTGGGGCTCGCAGCACATCATGCCCTGTACATATGGAAGGGAAAGTGAAGATTAAATCCCTGCGCTGTGACTAAACCTCTGCCTCAATGATAGTGTCCTGAGCTCAGGAAGTCCACGCCAGGCTTCTAGGGGTAGCCTAAACCCACACAGCCTAGTCCACACAGCAGACGATGCACCAGGGTCGACCTACTCTCCTCTCTATTGATTTTCTCCTGGCATTTAACAGTCCCAGCAAGTGACTCATGAGAATATTGGGAAGGTGATGGCCACCAATCTACGTACTGTCAAGATGTGTGGCTCACCGTGGAAGGCGTGCAGCTTGCCCTGGGGGGATGCTCTGCACAATGCACCCATATGGGGTGCAAAGACCAGCCCTGCCTGGGAGCAGCCCAATCTGAAGGAGGGCGGTCTCTCACAGAGCAACATGTAGTGAGTACCTGGCATTGCGCCAGTGTCCAGGGCACAAGGGGCAGGCCTATCCCTACCACACAGACAATTACAACACACTGTGAGGAGGGGCTGGACGTGCTGCCACCTGGAGGCCCCTTACCTGCATTCCCTAGCACCTCCCAAGCACTCCAGCACACCCCCTTTCAGAGTTACCATTTATTCTCCTCCCTCCACTCTCCTCTCTCCTCCTCTCCCTCTCCCTCTCCCTCTCCCTCTCTCTCTCTCTCTCTCTCTCTCTCCTGGGGATTAAACTCAGGGACACTCTAACACAGAGCTACATCCAGCACTTTCTATTTGTTTGCATTTTGGGATAGGTCTCTAAGTTGCCCAAACTGGCCTTGAAGCTACAACCCCTCTGCCTCTGCCTCCTGAGTAGCAGGGATTACAGGTGTAATCCGAATCCTTCCTTCCTCATAGTCAGCTCCGCTGCTTGCTTGGCTGGCTGGCCCAGCTGACCATGTCATGTTCACTGCCAATCCCTATGCGGAGCAGGTGCTCAGAAATGCAGGACAGAAGGAAGGACCAGAGCGCTTTGCCGCATCCCCTGCAAGAATGAAGACCATTCTTAGCAGTCAGACTGTCGACATTACAGAAAATGTCGACCTCACTCTGAAAGGACGCACAGTTATTGTGAAGGGCCCCAGAGGAATCCTCCAGAGACTTCAACCACATCACTGTGGAACTCATTCTCCTTGGGAAGAAAAAGAAGAGGCTCCGGGTTGACAAATGGTGGAGGAACAGAAAGGAGCTGGTGACTGTCCGCACCGATCTGTAGCCACGTACAGAACATGATCAAGGGGTTACACTGGGCTTCCGTTATAAGATGAGGTCTGTGTGTGCTCGCTTCCCCATCAATGTCGTCATTCAGGATGAAGAATGGCTCTCTTGTCGAAATTCGGAATTTCTTGGGTGAAAAATACATTCGCCGAGTTCGTGTGAGGGCAGGTGTTGCTTGCTCAGTATCTCAAGCCCAGAAAGATGAGCTAACCCTTGAAGGAAATGACATTGAGCTTGTTTCAAATTCAGCTGCTCTGATTCAGCAAGCCACAACAGTCGAAAACAAGGATATCAGGAAATTTTTGGATGGTATCTAGGTTTCTGAAAAGGGAACCATTCAGCAGCCAGATGAGTAAGATCCAAGAGTTAATCCAGCCACAGAAATAAGCTTCTGGATTGTAAAGCCAATCTGTGATATTTTAATGAAACAATAAAAGATCTTTATTAAATAGGGGAAAAAAAGGAAGGACAAGAGCGAAGAGAGAACCCCCTCCCACCCTCCCACTCCTCACTACCCCAGAAGTGCCCTGGGGTCAGGGCCGAGCTGACCTGGCTCTCGGAGCTGGTGGTGTGTGGGCAGCGGGGATCCCAGGTCAGCCATGCCCTTCCTCTCCCATGCCACCTGCACTTCAGACAGGGTGTGGCAGCAGCACTTCCAGAAAGGGAACAGACACTTCACACTGGCTCCAGCCTCGGTCTGTTCCTCATTGTTGGGGCCCAATGGGTCTCCAGGACCAGGTGGGGCAGGGCAGGCGAGGGTGTAGGGATGAGTGAAGGAGAGGGAGAGGAGGAGAGCGGAGGCGGCAGACAGAGTGCAGAGTCCTCTGGAGAGGGCCTGGGAGGAGGGAGAGGGCGGCAGAGGTGGGCTTGTGCCTGGAGACGTCACCTAGTGTGCATGATAAAAAGGGACAACAGCAGGACACTGAGAGAGTGAGCCCAGGAGCCCAGCTCTCTCCTTGTGGGTGCATGCCCACTCCTGGCACCTCCTGCCCTCCTCCAGGACCCCAGGAGCTCCTGCCTGGCCAAGGTAGGTGCACAGTGCATCGCTGACCTGGTGGGTATTGAGGGGAGAGGGCATCTGTTCCAAAGCAATGCATGCAGATAGGCAAAAGACAGGGACACCATCTCCCCATGCTGGCATGGCCAGCTGTCCTAGATGGCTGGGTGAACACACTGACTCACACTGTATGCAGGAAGCCAGGACCTGGGGGCACAAAGGCTCTGTTTCTGCTGGGGGTGGGCTAGGGCTAATGGAGTGATGGGCCCTTGCTGGAGTGTGGCTGGGTGTAAGGCTTCAAAAGCTTCGGGGGGCGGGGGGGAAGAAAGCCCTTCTGCGTTCAGGGGTTCCATGGGGCTCCTTTGGGTAGATCTCCCAAGTGCAAACCCAGCTTCCTACACGCTCTGCTAGTCCCCTACTAAGAACCAAAGCCACCCCAGGGAAGAAGCCACTCCCTTCCAGGAGCTTTTTGACCATGCCTGGACTTCCTCCATTCCTCACTAAATACCAAACGTCGTGGGCAACCACCGGCCACAGCAGGTCAACTGCTCATGGTCCCCAAAGCTGAAGGCTGTCTCCCAAACACTTGCACTCTCCTGCAGGTATTCTGTGCCACTGTGGATGAGACGGTGAGTAGTGTTGGGGAAGTGTGTACACACATGTGTGTGTGGCACGAGAGGAGTGTGTGTATCTGGTGTGATGAGTATACGTGGAGACGGGCATGTGGTATATGTACTACCTACATGTATGTGTGATGTGTGTGAATGTGTGTGCTGTGTGGTAGGTACGTGTGTATGTATGTATAAGTGCTATGTGTGGTGTGTGTCGTATGTACATATGTGTGTATATCTGTAGGGGGTGCTATGTGTATGTAGTATGGCATATATGTTGTATGTGTAGCACAAAGGTGTAGGGTGCACTGTGTGTATGTGGAGGACATATGGTACACATATGTATGTGTGATGCATAGATATGTGTGGGTATAGTATGGTACACATGCTGTACATGTATGTGTGTGGCATGTATATGTGTCTACATGTGTGTGGTATGGGGCTGCAATCTCAGCATCCATGGAAGCAGTGACTTCAGAGGGCTGCAAGGGGCCCCCAGATGTGCCCTCCCACCTTGCTTCTGTACAGAGTGCCAGAGCCCATGCACAGTCCCATCAACACTCCTTAGCGTGGCAGCGCTGTGCAGCTTTCTCCCTCCAGCAAAGTTCTGCCCTCTTGTCCTGCACCCCAGCCCTTGCCTACTACTGACCAGGACAGAGGCCCTACTGGGATCCTTCTACATCATCTTCTGGGGCTGACTCAGGCTTCAGAGCCATGCCCTGCTGACATCCCCAGCAGGGTTGGATGTCCCCAGCTCCTGTGGCCACTCTGCACCTACCTGTGTGTGGAGTGTTATTTCTAGCAGAGGTGCTATTTGGAACTCATCGGCTTGAGAGTCAGTTTCCTACACTGGACCTGTGATCTCAGGAGGGAGCAGAGCCCTGTGCAGCACACCTGAGTCCCCACACCTGGCACCACCCCAGCCCCCGCTCTGCTCCAGGGAGGCCTTCCACACCAAGCTGGACCCAAGCTCTGCAGCACTTCCCATCACTCTCCTAGGAGATGAGCCTCACCTCTCCCCCATGCTCTGCCCAAGCATTTTGTGGGTACAAAGAACCTGTTCTAAGATGTCACAGGGTCAGAGTCCCTGAGGATGCATGATGGAGCGGGCAGCCGGTGGCCAGTCTGATCAGTTCTCTCGTTTTGTAGACTAACCACTGGGGCTGGGATGTGTCTCATGAGAATGAGGGTAGGGCTAAGGCCAGATCTGAAATGGAATCCCCTGTGCACTGTGCCAGGGTCCTGCAGTGGGGGAGGAGAGGCTGCAGAAGAGGGAAGAGTACTCTGGGGCTCGAGGCTTAAATCCAGCCAAGACAAAAGCACTACATCTTCTGTCTTCTGGACAATCCAAGGTGCCTGAGGACTGTTTCCAAGGGAAATCGAACTTGGGAGCTGATGAAATGGGGTGGAGGAGGAGCAAACACGGGGTGAGAAGGGGACGGAACAGGGGTGGACAAGGGGCAGGGCACAGCTCCCAGCTCAGCAGTGAGGATGATGAGGCCAATTCAATTCCTGCCTCTCTGAGCCCAAGGAGAATAGGCTGGAGACAATTGACCTGATGAATCAAGGGTAAGGTTTTTCTCCTCCCTGAATTATAGGCAATAAGGCAATTTAATGACAGTCTTCAAGGCTGTGAAAGGCTCAGAGACAAAGCGAGATGAGTGCCTCTTTCTTCCTTTCTCTAGAAAAGATAAAGAATTGGGTTTCTATTATAACAGGAGGGAACAGGGCAAGACCTGGGAAGTCACGAATCTGTGCAGACCCAGCAGGAAGATGAGAAATACACGGTCCCAGGCCCCAGAGAGAAGGCCTGAACCTCAGAGTCTTGAGGATCTGAACTCCTAGCCCTGTGTCCTCCCAGTACACTCCTCCAAACTGCTTCCCACCCCTCTTGTCCCCAGACTTTGCTCAAGCAAACCTGAGATTCAGAATCCCAACACTTCCAACCTGAGCAGCCTCATTCCTTCCACCAAATGGGATCCTCTTCCTTCCTGACCTTACCAGTCCCACCTCCTCCAGGAAGCCCTTCTGAGGATGCTGTGAATTCAGAGTTCATGATCCTGTGCCAGTTGCGTCACCCCCCTTTCCATTTCTAATGTTTTGGCCCATCCCTCTACTGGGAGCCTCCAAGGACAGGGGCCTTCTCTCCTCCAGGGCTCGGCCTCTTGCACCTGGCCCTGAGGCTGTGCCTGACCTCATCTCTGCCCTTTCTGTCTTGGCTTTGGATCATACCTAGGACCTGCCCTTCACCAGGATGGACTCACTGGCTTCATGGCAGCTACTGCTCTTCCTCTGTGTCACCTCCTTGGGAGAACCCCTGGCAAAGGTGGCACCTGTGGAGAATCCTAGACCCACAGGTACGCATCGTCAGGGAGAAGGGTGTGGAGGCAGGTGGGTTGTTGCAAATGGCCACTAGCCTGCTGGTGGGAGCTGACACAAGGGCATCTCGAGGAGAAGTCTGGTAAGCTCTGCTAGCTAGGGACCACTTACCATGGTCATAAACATCAGGGGGCTCCCAAAGCACAGGTGCCTATCATCCACCAAGCTTATTCATGATTCTCATACTGTTCCCTGCTCTACACCATCCACTTCTCTGTGTGGATGTTGAGGGGCCTGCCCAGTAGCTCAGCTCTTTAAGTGATTGCTTAAACAAAGCTGTCAGGCTCAGGATGCTGTGGTTCCATCCCCAGATCCTCAAACCTTGCCAGACCTGCCCTGAAGGTATCTAGAGCCAGCCCCATCCCCCCCCCAAAAAAAAATCTTTCTGTGTAGATGTTGGGAGGAATGTGATATACACATTTCTTTTATCAGTGACTCAGATCCTTTCTCAAAGATCTGAATAAAGAACCAAACTCATGACAGATTCTTAATATCTTCCAACCTCATGAGCTCACTGGAGACGCTGACACCCACTGAGGTAAAGAAGCTTCTCCAAAATCAGCCAAGTGCTGCAGAAGCCCAGCAGGTGCCAGAGCTGACACAAGCTACAGCTGTGCTGGTTCCCAAGTCATGCGTGTGGCTTGGTTTTCAGCTCTCTGAGGAATCTAGGACGTGTCACTTCACCTTCCTGGACCTCAGCTCCTGCCGTGGAACTTAGGGTATGCCCTGCACATTTGATCCCCTTGTCCATCACCACAGAATATCCCAAAGAAAAGCCCAGGTGTCTCCTGCCAAGAGTGTCATCTTACTATGACGATGCTCTCTGTGGTGAAAGGCTCCAGGCAAGGACACACACGGTAACCTGAGCAGTGGTCCCAGCGCTGGTTTGCTGTGTAACTGGGATCCGCCAGCCTATCATCCGGGCCCTGGACAAGGTGGGCGGGGCCACTGAGGCACGAAGTTATTAACGCTGGACATTGAAACCTCCAACACACACATTAACTCCAGCACACGCCCACTCATGTCCACTAATCTCTCCCACAGTTGGCTGTATTTATTGTCTACTCTGAGCTAGGTGCCCTATTTTACTGCCAACAAGTATAGCGAGTTTAATGAGCCTGCGTAGGAAGTGCCTTCCAAATTAACCACATTAACCCTCAGCACTAAGGGGAGACATTATACCTAAGCTGGAGAGGTAAGCCAGTTACCGGGACCTAGATAATTTCTGGTCCTCACTGAGTTCTGATGTAGCTTTTAGAGGGTTACAATTATTGTTATCAGGCAGGAAGACTGTATCACAGGTGTGTGGGGGCTCAACGTCCTTGGGGCCACTTTCTTGATTTCTGTTACTACATTGTTGTCCTTAGCTTTTATATATCTGACAAGCATTTACTGAGACCCTACTGTGTGCAAGGCACTCTTTCAAGCATTCTGGTAGACGAGAGACCAAGGAACAAAGGCCCTCGGGAGCTCCCAGTCCAATGGGGAGCCAGCCAGGGAGGGGACCCAGAAAAGGGATGGCGCTGAGTGTCCTCCAAATACTTTAGTCTTCTAGATTTACAAACTCCATATTTTTTGCTTCTTAAAACAAGTGAATATAAAAGCTATTCAGATTAAATCCAGCAAACATGCAAAATCAAAACCGCATTGCAGGTGGGGGGAGCAGATGACCTATCACTACCCGAGCTAGGACTGCCGTCCTAGGAACTTTCCAGAGGTCTAGGGCCCGAGGCTGATCTCTGGGTGGAAGTTTCAGGGGGTGCCCCAAAGCCTCTTTCCCGGTCAGGCTCACCTCCCTGTGCTCTCTGTCCTAGGCCAGCGGCTGGGAGCCCTGGCCCTCCTGGCACCCTGGGCACAGGGCCTGATGTGTGTGGAGAGGAAGCCCGCGCCGGCCAGGCCGCGCCCTCGGAGGACCTCGCTGTGCCCACCCGGCGAGAGCGAGCGCTTCACGGAACCCACGGGGTCCAGCCTGTGCGCCCCACGCAATCGCCTGATCCCCGCACCGCGGGGCTCCGTGCTGGTGCAGAGGGAGAAGGACCTGTCCTCCTACAACTGGAACTCCTTCGGCCTGCGCTACGGCAAGCGGCGGGTAGCTGGCGGCGCTGGGCAGCAGCTGGAGTGCGGGCGCGTGGGGCTGAGCGTGCAGGCGCAGAGGCGGCCTTGAACTTCAGACCTGGGCCGGCGCCAGCTAGCGGGACTGAGGGGCAACCCAGGTGCCCGAGCTTGTGCTCCAGGCAATAAAAGAAATGCTGCCGACTCAGCAAGTGCGATTTTCAGAGTCCTTGCAAGCAGTGCGTATGGGCTTGCTTTTTCTTAGATCTTTCGGTGGTATTAAGATGTCTCTGGGGCCGTCAAGGTCAGTACTTCTCAAGTTACATGTGGAAAACCAAGGTTGATTGTTACCCAGGCTGTTGTAGCTCAGTACTTAAAGGAAAAAAATTTTTTCTACTCGGTGGGTATCATCCTGAGTGCAGATCAAGAAAGCCAGGTATGGGCTGGTGAGATGGCTCAGTGGTCTAAAGCACCTACTTAGAACAAGCTAAGCTAAGCTAAGCAAAGCATAGGGACCACGGTTCAATCCCCCAGCACCACATGCCAGCCAGCCCCCTGGTGGGCTGAGCTGGCCACACACAAAATAAATAAATAAATATTAAAAAAAAAAAAAAAAAAAAGGAAAGAAAGCCAGGTGTGATGGTACTCACACACCTGTGATCCCAGCACCCTGGGAGACTGGGGCGAGGGGATCACAAGTTAAAGCCCAGCCTGAGCGACTTAGTGACCCTGCCTGATAAAACAAAAAAAAGAAAAAATGCTAGAATATAGCTCAGTGTGAAGCCTCATGGTTCATTCCCAAAAAAGAAAGTACAGTCAGTCAGAAGGGGACATTCTTGGGCCCAATAGCTGAGGACTGCTCATTAGGAAAACCCAGGGAAATCCACTCTTCCATTTGACAACCTCAGGGTTCTCCTATCCACTTGGTCTGGGAGAGGAACGTTCTTTCCCAAAGGAATAGGGGGATCTACCACCATACTGAGAAGCACCACAGTCCTCTCTACCCATCACAGAATCCAGGGCTCCACAAGACTGAGACAAAGCTGAGTTGCTATGGTAACAAGATAGGCTGCCATGGGAACTAACAACCTGCCCTCCCCATCTTTACCCTTGAAACCAACATCCAGGATCTCTCAAATTTCCCATACTGCTGTGAGCTTATGTCATAGCAAGTGGTGACGGCATGGTGTGTTGATATTCAGAAAGGCATTTGATCCTTGAACAGCCCCAGAGAGTATATGTACTTCACAGAGGAGTCCTAAACGCAGTACCTATCCTGTTAAGTGAGTTATCCCCCCAGCCCTTTGAACCGAGTCTTTCATTGGGAAGCCTGTGGATAGGAGGAGAGCAGCGGGTTTCTGAAATCTGCTCTTAGCCAGCCTGAGTTTTACAGAACTCCTGAGGGTCCCTGTGTCTCTCCACATGGCCTTAACTCTAGGCAGATTAGGAGAGGACTGCTTGGGGCTGAACCAGGAACCGTGTTCTCTATCTGTCTGTGAGGGTATGTAAGAGAAGAACATAGGAGACAGCATGCAAGCTCACACCCTGTGCCTGTGGGACCTTGTGTGTGGCATGGACCCCTCCAAGCACATTTCAGGCCTTACCAAGTGTCACTGCTACTGAGTGCGTGTGTCCCTCCCATCTGTTCTAGCTGATCCAGAGCCCTGGCTTCTGCGGACAGCTGGAAGGGGCCTAGATGCTTCTTGTCCCAGAACTGCTACCTACAGACTCTGGGCTTCCCTTTTCTTGGGGCTTTCTGTGGAACAAAAGGAACTTTGGCCTCTTGAGGCTCCAAGCTAACTCAGAACAGGGCCTCCTGATTGGAGGGGAGAGGTAGGGAGAGGAAAACACGCTGGGAAGAACCACAGTGTTACTTGCCCCAGGAGTTCTCAGGCTCCTCTCTAGATTTCCTGGGTGAGCTCAGAAAGCTGGGGCACCAAAGCCAAAGAGTTGGAGGCAGAGCCTCCCTGGGACACTCTGATCTACTACTACATGAGGTCTGGGCAGTTGCCAAGAGTCCATGGCTATGCTCGTTAGGGGAAGTTACAGTGTTCCTTCCCCAGCCCTCCTTCTTTGGTAAGTAATAGAATAGCGTGGGCTTGTCACTTGCCCCTCTGGAAAGAAATGTGGGGACAGGGCTGGGGGGTGCAGGCAGATGTCTGCCCCTAATATCACTCTGAACATGTTCACAAGTGATGTGTGAATACCTACGATGTGCTGAGCTCAGGGCTCCCTCACTTCATCCTCTGAATACATCTGTGATGGGTAGTGTGCTCCCCAGTGTGTATATGAGAACACCAGGTCGGGGAGCTTGGGTGGTCTGTCCCAGACTCTGTTGCTGCAAAGTTCTGTGACCAAGAATCAGACACATTTTCACTTTGAAATGCGGTCTCCCTTTCTCTGACTCCCACCCTTTCAAGCACAGCTGGGTGGCAGGCTTAACCCTTCCCCACCAAGAATTTGTCTAAGGAAGCTTGTGTAGCAGTGAATGTCACCCTACCCAGTTGCTTGCTTTAGTAACAGCTCAAAGTCACCAGTCCCAAGAGCAAGCCTCCTTCCCTCTAGCCTCAGGACAGGAGCCAGCATGGTTTTGGCCCTGTTGCCTGCCTTCCCTCCTTGTCAACAGCTTCCTTAGGCCAGATTTGGTCACAGGGAGGTGAGGGTCATCAAATCTGAGGAGACCATGGTGCCCTGTCTCACCTGCCCTGCTGCCTACCTGTCATCTTCCGTTTTCAAGGAAGTGACCAATATGCCTCCTTGCTTGGCTTTGCAGGGGGAACTTGGGGCAAGGCTTGCTTTGGGATATTAGGGGCTCCAGGGCTTGGCAAACAGCCCCCACCATCATCACCTTGGGTTTGTGTTCCTGCTGTCTCTCTAATATTTGTCCATCTTTATAACTTTCCCTTCAACAAGTTATAGCAAAAAGGGTAGAAAGTCCCACTTATGGCCCATCTGTGCCTCCTCACCCTTATGAAGAGCACCAAAGGAACAAGAACAGTATAGAACCTCAAGGACAGAGAGGAGAGAAGTGAAGCTGAGCAGCTGGAAATGACGGCAAGATTTCCAAGATGGAAATTTATCTGGAGTGTTTTGCAGAACAAAGGAAACTGCACCTGTACGCTGTCCCAGGATGCAACGGGATAGGTGGATGGAGCCTGGACACAACAGGGCACTGGCTGAAAACCAGGAGCAGGGCTTAGGTTTCCTAAGATCAACACAGCTGGGCTTTCCCGCTAGCTCGTCAGAGGAGGGCAGCGGGTTCCTGCCTGGAGGTCAGCAGAGGGGAGCTTCCACCCCGCTCCCAGAAGGCACAGTGAGGATGGGAACAAAGAGGGCAGCTGGAAAAGAGGTACTATGGGGATCTGCATGGGTGAGCACCCAGCCTGCTCCCTCTGCCCTAGGAAGGAGGGCAGACTCAAGGCAGGAGGTGGCAGGTCCTGGAACAAAGCCTCTCAAATGGTAGCTCTGACCTCCCTCTCTCTGGCCAGGTATTCTGCCTCTGCATGGAGGAGGGAGGAAAGGGGGAGGGGAAGGGAGAGAATAGGAGGGGAGAAGGGAGAAAGGAGGAAAGAGGGATGGGACAAGCGGGTAGGGCAAGGGAAGAAGTTGGGAGGGGAGGGAAGGGGAGGGGAGGGGAGGGGAGGAGAGGGGAGGAGAGGGGAAGGAAATCAATGCAGGATGATATCCCAGAATAGAAGGCATGAATTTCAAGACTTGACTGAAAGGGCTCATGAAGTACTGAGATCATGAATCAGAAAAAAACCAAAACCAGGCATAAGGAAAGGCAGTAAAAGCCTCAAGGGGTGAAAACTATTGTGGAAGGGTCAGGAGTCAAAACTATAAGAGACCAGAAGACATTGGAGAAACAATTTCCAATCTCAGAAGGAAAACAAGCTTCAACCTAGAACCTATTCCTGATGAAACCACTGAGGGTCTGGACGTGCCAAGACGGCGCCTTTCCCAAGAAGTTCTGGGAAACTGTGCCCACTTAAGCAAAGGAACAAGCTCAAGAATAAGTTTCCAAGCCTCAGAGGACAGCTGCAGAAGACATCCCAGATAACTGCACGCAGCAGCCGGGCTCCTGGGAGGCTTGCACAAGCTTCTCACCTGGTGTGGAACCAGGAGTAAAGGTTCTGCGTGAGTTCAAGGCCAGCCTGACTACACAAAGACCTTCTCTCGAAAAAATGACAAAAACAAAAAAAAGGAGTATGAAAGTTGTGGAGGGCCACCTGAGCAGCTCTCCTTGAAAGCAGAGCGATCATCTCCATTTTGGCTGTGCCTGACCCCATTACCTTGTGTTGATATGTATAGAGCTGGCTAGGACTTTTCCTTATCCCTTCAATTGGCTTGAAGCCAGCGTGTTGGTCCAGCCCAGGTGCTGGTGGTAGTCTTTGCAGATGGCCGGCACGTTTCCCTGACAACCCACACCTTCTGCTCTTTAATAAGAGCCAGGTCAAGACAGGACAAACAGCCAGTGCTCCGCTCTGTTGGCTGGGATCAAGCCTCAAGATAGAGGCTAGGACTTCCTGGGGCTTGAAACATTACACATCAGACCTGAAGCACCAGACCCCAAAACATTAGATACTATCTCAAAAGTATAATGCAAATTACTTTTTCTGCATATCTTTTTCTCAACATATCGCAGATGCAAATGCAGGCCTCCTCTCTAACCCAGCTCACAGTACTGAACTACTTCCAGCAATTCTCAGTCACTCATCCTCAAGCCACTCCTCCTTCATGACTGAATAAAGCCTGGGTTTGGCCCTGGGTCGAGGCCTTTGTGCCAGATAGCCATCCCCATGGCTGGACTTAGGGCCCCTTGGCTCTGCATAACTATAAATATGCTTTAATGTCTTTATTCTCACCATGGGTTGCACTGGAAGTGGCAAATTGGAATTAACTTGGTGGGATTCCAATAACTTATCCATGGGATTACAAATATAAACTTCCCAGACGAGACGGGGACCAGGAAGGGCTCCCTATAGAAAGTTACATCCAGTGTTATGGCATAAATCTATAATCCTAGTACTCGAGAGGCTGAGGCAAGAGGATCTTGCGTTGAAGGCCAGCCTGACTACATAGTGAGAACTTGCCTCAAAAAAGAATTTAAAAAAGAGAGAAAGAAATTTTGAAATTAAGAGATAGCAAGACACA